AACTGCCTCGACTTAAAGGTGGAGGGGCTTAATTTGGCTCACGGTTTGAGGGGTTCTGTCCGTGGCAGCTGGCTCCAAGGTAGAAGATAGCCTGGTAGGGAGGTGTAGTGGAGGAACGCTGCTCATCTTACTGCAGCCAGGAAGTAGGGAGCCAAGAAAAGTCAGTGACAAGAATATAACCTTATTCACCTTCTTTTGGACAAGTTGTCTTAAAGAGAAGAGCACACCCACTTCAATGAGTCCTCATTGTTTTATGCTTGAAAATGATCCAGGAGCGTGTTGAAGTTGGTCTTACAATGTGCAGATTCAAAGGGGAGTTTTTCAGATCCTATGGGATCCAAGAGACCCATAGGAATACAGGGGATTTCAAGGTAGTATAGTACGAAGATAAGAAATGCATACTCTTAGAGGCAAATGTTAATAATTGTTGCTACTTTGTTTCCAAAACATACAGTGGTAAGAATTAAAATCATGTTCTCAGAAGAGAATATGAAATAAGTGGAATCTTACACCTATGTGACTCTAAAATATTACACAAAGTTTTTGTATTTTTTCCCTCTCAATAACATAAACACTCAAAGATGACAGCTTTTCTTGCATAAAGTAAATTTTATTTGTTTGTTTTGGGTTGTTTGTTTTTTTTGTTTGTTTTTTTTTTTTGAGACAAGGTCTCACTATGCAGTTCAGGCTAGCCTGAGCTCACTTTGTAACCCAGGCTGGTCTCGGATTCACAATGATCCTCCTGCCTCAGCCTCCCAAGTGCTAGGGTTACTGGTGTGCGCCACCACACCTGGCTAAAGGAAGTTTTTAAATTAATAGGTTGTTGTTTTTTGTTTTTGTTTTTTTTTTTATGAGAACTGGTCTTAATGCATTTGAAAGTAAGACTCTGGCTTTTTTTTTTTTTTTTTTCCTGGTCTTTTTGAGGCGAGGTCTCGCTGTGCAGTTCAGGCTGGCCTTGAGCTCACTTTGTAGCCAGGCTGGTCTCAAACTTGAAACAATCCTCCTGCCTCAGCCTCCCGAGTGCTGGGATTACAGGCATGAACCACCACGCCCAGCTCTGGCTTCTTTTATATCCTTGCACCACTCTCCCTCTGTAATGTAAGGCAAAACTCAAAGCCTTTCTCACTGTGATACAGTTAAGGTAGAAGAGAAATGTTCTTTTGGTTTCTTTGAAAAAGAGCTAAATTGTAAGAGGTAAATTACACAGTGGTTCCACTCATGCTTCTTTATAGTTTGGATAATTTTTTATTGTTAATAATGGCATAAACTGCCATATATTATTGTGCATGCCTATAGTCCCAGCACTCAGGAGGCTGAGGCAAGAGGATCTCAAGATTGAGGCCAGCCTGGCCTACATAGCAAGTTCCAGGGTAGCCTAGACTATATGAGACCTTTTTTAAAAAAAATTTATTTTAAGAGATTATAAACCTGTATTGACTCTAAGATATGCCCTGTTCTTAAAGAATATTAGATTGAATTTTTTGATGGAAAAGCTGTTTGTTGGTACCATGTCAGATTTCTAAAATATAAGACCTTTCGAATTACTTAAATCTTCATTATTATTATCTCTATGGTTGAGATAGTCTGGTTTTGACATAGTATGGGTTCTTCATCAAAAATAGAATGATCTAGGGCTGAGGATGTAGGTTAGCGGTAGATTGCTTGCCTAGCATGTGCAAGGCCTTTGGTTCAATACCCAGTATCACAGAGGAAGTAAGAATAAAATGATCTGTTGTTGAGCTAGAAAGAGATAGAAAGTGTTTTGTTTTGTTTTCATTTTGGCTAGGGTAGGTGGCCTCAGAGTGTTGTCCCTGGACCAGTAGTGTCAGCATCCTTTAGGAACTTGTTTAAAAATACAGATTCTTAGGCTCCACCTCAAACCTCTTTAATCAGAATTTGTAGATGCAGACCCAGCCAGCAGAATTTTAATAAGCCCTATAGATGTTTGCAATCCACAGTAAAGGTTTAGAACCACTAGGCCAGTGATCACAAACCTCGTAGAGCCTCAGTGTAACTAACAGCCAGCTGTAGCGCATGTGCCATCCATCCACCACCACTGCCCTGGGTGCAGAAGGGTTCTGTAGAAGGAAGCTGTGGCTCCTCTGTCGCCTGTGTAAAACTCAGGACATGGTGTGTTCTGAGTCCTGGACTACAGTATTCACACTAGTGACTTCAGCCTTCCCTTTGAAAGCACTCCGGTATCCATAAAATTGTCATCCTTTGCAGCAGCATTTCACCCTGAGATTGATTACCTTTAAATAAAAGAATTGGGTACAAAACTTTCCATTAACCCCAAAATCCGCACGTCCAGAAATAAGAAGTATTTCAAGCTGCTGTGGAGGAGAACATCAAGGAGTTTGTACCTTTAGCTGAATAAACATTGGTGGAACTCAGATTGTATGAATAACTGCATTGCCATATTTTTTTCTTAGTTGTTACACAGAGGGATATTAAATAACACATGGATATTATCCCTGTTGGAACTGTTTGGATTAGGTAGTGGCAGTCACTGGCCAGGCCTTACATATCTTTTTATCTAAATTCAGTCAACTGTCTCCGTTAAGTTGCGGTCCCCAAGACCCCACCCAAGTTCAATGATTGTCTGAGAGGACTCATGCACCTCAGCATACAGCTGCGCTCACAGTTAAGATGTACTACAGTGAACACATGGACGGCAGAATCAGTAAAGGGAAAAGGCCCATGGAGCGAAAGTCCAGGGAAAATCAGGTGCAGGCTTCAGTTACACGGAGCGTGCTTAATCCTCCCAGCAGTGAGTGGTGACCAAATCTGGGAAGTGTCTGCCAGAGAAATTCAGTGCCCAGGTTTTCACCAGGGTCTGGTCATCGAGGCAACCTTTTCTGACACATAAATCCTGGCACTAGAAGGAAGGCAGGCGTTCAGTGTGAGCCATGGTATGTGTGCACAGTTGAGCCACTCTTAACAGTTCAGGGAACTGTGCGAGCCTCCCAGACCCAGGCTGCAGGTGCTGCTCAAGGGTCTTCCTCATAAGGATAGCAGCTAGGTGTGCTTTTATCTCTTGTCCACACACCTGTCCTAAACAAACAGTGTGTGTGTGTTCCATTCCTTTTATCTACTGGTCTTGATGTCTGTCTGTCGTGATGTCCTTAGAATGTGAGTTCAGTGAGAACAGATAGCATCTACTCTGTACTCCTCGGCAGACACCAGGATGAGTGCCACTTGCAGTGCGGGCCTCCAGGAAATCCTGCACTTCTGCGCTTGGTGTGCAACCCTGCTGCTACTGCGTCACTGTTTAAGTGCTGCCCATTCTCATGTCGCATGCAAGTCCCAACGTATCATGAAGCCTTAACTGATTAGACACCTAACTTTGAGCTCCCCTTTTTGTTAATTCTGGTAACATTGAAAGTCTGTGTGCGTCACCTTAATACTACACTTCACTCCAGCTGGGCGTGGTGGCGCACACCTGTAATCCCAGCACTCAGGAGGCTGAGGCAGGAGGATCTTTGCAAGCTCGAGGCCAGTCTGGGCTACAAAGTGAGCTCAAGGCCAGCCTGAGTGCATAGCGAGACCCTGTCTCAAAAAGACAAAAAAATAAATAAGTAAACTTCACTCCAATGCTAAAGTACTGCCTTGAGTCCAGGCATGGTGGCACACTCCCTCCCAGCACGTGGGAGGCTGAGGCAGGAGGATCACAGGTTTAAACCAGTCTAAACAACTTAAGCAATTTAGCTAGACCATCTCAAAATAAAATGAACAGGGCTGAGGATGTAGTCCTGCCCTAGAGTGCTTACCTAACATGCACAAGGTCTTGCTTCAATCCCTAGTACCACAAAAATAATTTTTACCCAGGCCTGGGCGCATAGTGAGTTCAAGGCTGGCCAGCCTGAACTACTTAGCAAGACCTTGTCTCAAACAGATGCATAAATAAATAAGTAAATTTGATTAATGTTGTAAATTTTATAGAGAAAAAGTAAGTAAAATTAACACTCAGATTTTAGACATGAGCCAGTCATCCTCTTTAGAAGGATACTAGTTAATCCCGTAGATTAAATTATTGATAATGAAATTGCAGAAAGGCCGTCTCTCTTTTTACAGAGACCTGCTGTGATTTGAACAGTGGAAGAAGAGAAAGCAGCACATCATTGGAGTGGTGCCTTAGTTGTTAGGTGAGCCTCAGTTATCTAAGCCGTGTTACGCAGGGTTGAGGAAGTCATGTTCAACCAGTTAGTTTTGACTGTGTACTATATTTGCCAAACTTTTCCCCCAGCCTGCAGTTCTGGGAAACCACCGTCATTCTAGATGTAGTGATAGCTGTGATTAATCATGCCCCACTTTCAGCAAATGAAATTGAAAATATTGTTAGCTGTGTTTTCTTCTTTTTTTTTTTGTCTCTTTGAGACAGGGTCTCACTGTGCAGTTCAGGCTGGCCTTGAGCTCACTTTGTAGCCTAGGCTGGTCTCGAACTCGCAACCATCCTCCTGTCTCAGCCTCCCAAGTGCTGCGATTACAGGCGTGCGCCACTGCGCCCGGCTGTATTTTCCATTGACCATAATGCTCTCCGTCTCATTTCCCCTTAACAGGTAAAGACATTTCTGTGGTCACATTTTTCCCTGTTACTCTTTTATCATTGTTGAGATACCAGAGACCTGTCACTTAAGCTTGATCCCATTCCGCAGAGGATTTGGAACTAAAGACTTGAAAATTAGAGATGGGGCCAGATGTGGTGGTGCATGCCGGTAGTTCCAGAACTCAGGACCCTGAGCAGGAGGATCACTGTGAGTTGGAGGCCAGCCTGGGCTACATAGTGAGACCCTATCTCCACAAAAAAAAAAAGAAAAGAAGATTAGAAATGCTAAGACATACTGTAACTGTATTCTCAATCAACTCAATTTTCTGTTCACTTTCCCTCCCAAGCTTTGGCTAATAACTTATACTAAATTTAGACTTCAGGGACCATAAAAGGGCTGTTGCTGCTATTTAAGATGAATGAATGTATCCTCTATTGTTGCCAATGTTTGCAGGTGTAAAGAATTGAATAAACGGAGACCCCGAAGTTTACTAGAGAAACTGCGCTGGGTGACCTTAGGCTACCATTATAACTGGGATAGTAAGGTATTTCATTGTCTTAATTTATTTGTTTTCCATTTATATGGTTTTGGGGCACACATAGTTGGTTTCTTTTTTTTTTTTTCCTGTGTGTGGTCAAGCTTAAAGTATCATCATAGCAAAGACTACGTGAAAGGATCTCTATTCTGCTTTAAAAGCTCTCTTCAGGTATCTCAAAAGGAATAAATAGTTTATCAGGAGAAAATTGTGTTTTCGTATACCTTGGAGTTACATAGTCACCAGTGCTTTCTCAAAGTCCATGCCAGAGATGCAGATTTCTGCTTACTGCTTTCAAGAGCAATTTTCAATTATCTTTATTTTCAGTATTGTTTCAGTTGTTGAATAGTTTTTTTTTTTTCCCACATGTTATCTGCTTGGAATAAAAGAAGCCTTGTGTACCTACAGTATTCTTAGAGTGTACTGTCAGGATGGGAATGGTGGTACACACCTGTAATTCCACACAGGAGGCTGAAACAGGAGGGTCACTGTGAGTTCAAGGCCAGCCTGGATTTCATAGTGAAACCCTGTCTCAAAAACCAGAAAGAGAAAAAATTTTCAAGATCCAGTAAGCATTGCCTGCCAGAAGATGTCAGGTAAATCTCTGGCCAGGAGACGGGTAGGAACGAATTTCCTGTAATTGAGAAAGTTTTCTTGAGCTACGGTGTCTTCCTTCTTGTCTGCTGTGCTTCAGAGATGCATCCTTTGTCACTAGCAGCGTAGTGCTCCTTATCTCAGTGAGATGTTTGCAGCCGGTGGGAGAACTAATTCTAAGAATAAACTGGTCTTGAACTCACTCTGTAGCCCAGGCTGGGCTAGAACTCAGGGCAGTCCTCCTGCCTCAGCCTCCCAAACCCTCCTGGGATTACAGGAATGCACCACCACGCCTGGCCAAAAATTCTGAATAATCAGAGAAAAGTAAAAATTGAGGAAGGAGTTGGACAAAATACAGTATGCTGCCATTTTTTTAAAAAAAGTAATTCATAGATGATTTGGATAGAGTAGAAAGGCCAAAAAGCTAATTACTTCATCATAGCAGAAGCTGTCTAGAGTTCGAATGGCTACCTGGACAGGTCAGTCATCCCAAGGGACTGAAGTTGAAAATGCTAGAGGAAACCTGTTCTGAGAACTACATAGGATCTCTCCTTATTTGCAGTTCACTAAAAGGAGAAAATTGGGGCTGAGGATTTAGCTCAGCGGCACAGCGCCTGCCCGGCAAGCGCGAGGTTGTGAGTTCGATTCCCAGTACCAGAAAAGAAAAAAACCAAAAAACAAAACAAAAGGAGAAAATTTTACATAAGTCTTCCTTGCACCTGAATTTAAAGCTCACTTTTGCCAGAGTAAGGCCCTTCTTTTCAGAGCTGTGGCTTTGTTGTTCCAGCTAGACTATATCAGGATAAGGCCAGGCGTGGTGGCACACGCCTGTAAGCCTGTAATCCCAGCCCTCAGGAGGCTGAGGCAGTAGGATCCTTGTGAGCTCAAGGCCAGCCTGAACTGCATAGCGAGACCCTGTCTCAAAAAGACAAAGGGAGAATGTGTGGAGCTACTCCAAGCACACACAGCCAAGTAACCCTAGACTCACCTGTGTAGGAAGCTGTAAATGAACGTCATAAGCATAACTTATTCTAGAAATTGTGTGCAGCAAGATCTTTTAGAGTGTGAGAACCTTTGTTTATTTGGTTGGGGAGGTGGCCCTTGTAACCCTTAGATGATAAAACAAGCATTTTAGAGAAATAAGTGCGGAAATACTTCCATTTTAGGGTCCTACCTTAACCACGATAAAAGTTAGACTTAATTCAGATGTTCTGACGGGTTGACCTGTGAAATTGGCATTAAGACGTGATGCAGGCTGGCTGTAGTATTGGAGCTGCCATTTTAACAAACTTATTTTAGGATAGTTTAAATTTACAAAAGAGTTGATAAGATAGTTGTAAGTTTACAGAAAAGTTGCTAAGATAGTATCCAGTCATCATCCCCCCCCATTAACATCTGCGATTAGTGTGGTACCTTTGTCTCGATGAATGAACCAGTAGTAATATATCAGTATAATAGTAAAGTCCATACTTCATCAGATATCCTTGGTTTTTAAGCACATAAACTTCTGTTCTAGAACCTCATCCAGAATACGACATTTAGTGGTCATATTTCCTTAGGTCTCTCAACAGTAGCCATTTTGATTAAGTGCACCAGAAAGTGTTACAGTGATTGCTTCATGTATAGGCTGCACACAGTGTGAATTTATGCACAGCGTGGTGCTTGTCATTCAGTAGGTGCTCAATATTTTGAATAGTTCATTATTAGGTTACTGAATGCCCTAAGAATAGATGGATGGGGCTCTAGGTATAAATCAAGGGTCGAATGCTTGCTTGGTATGCATGAGGCCCTGTGTTTAATTCTCAACATTGGAAAAGAGGGGAGATGGGTAGACAGTGCTACTGGTGTGTTAATGTTATTTTGTAAGTTAGAGGATTTTAAAGTGGTAGTTATTCATATGCCCTAGTTTCCTATGTTCCTGAGATCATTGTTTATTTTTCTTATTTTTCCGACTTTTATCAAAGAAATACTCAGCAGATCATTATACACCTTTCCCTTCTGACCTGGCTTTCCTCTCAGAGCAAGTAGCTGCTGCCTGTGGGTTTCAGGGCTTCCGAGCTGAAGCAGGCATCCTGAATTACTACCGCTTAGACTCCACACTGGGCATCCATGTAGACAGATCTGAACTCGATCACTCCAGACCCCTGCTGTCATTCAGGTAAGTTAGTTCCAGGGATTCCGGATTGCTTTTTATTATTTGATTCTTTTTTCCAATGCATTTTTAAGCTTAAAATAAATAAAGACATTAATTTTCTTAAATGGCTTTCTAATCTTTCACCTCTTGGCACATTACAGTGTATCATAAAGTAAAATTTATCCATTTAAGACTTTTAACTCTTCCAAGAGCAGTAGCCAAACACTGTTTCTATGTAAGAAACGCGAGTCCCGGGTTTGTAATGAAAGAGTTGTTAGCACCCTGGAGAACAGAAAGGTGGAAAGCCCTGGAGCAGAGTGAGCAACCTTTTGGGACGAAATGAAGAAGAAAACACAAAAGCCTGAAGGCTTTCCTCTCTTTGTCTCCCTGAATATCAGTTTCAGTTTATGCAAAGTGCTGTGCCAGTATCTCTAGAAAGAAAGTACCCTTTTTAGGGGCTGGGGATTTAGCTCAGCGGCAGAGCGCCTGCCTGGCAAAGCGCCTCGCAAGCACAAGGTCACGAGTTCAATTCCTGTACCGGAAGAAAAACGAAAGTACCCTTTTTAATTTTGCCTTTATCTTTAAAGGAATAATGTTCATAGTGGAAAAATTAGACAATTTTATTGGAAGATTGAAATTTTAAAAGATATATCAATGAAGCTTATGTAGACAGTGTTAAAACTCAGTTCTTTATTTGCTTATTTACTTCATCAAGTTTCACTCTGCAGCCAGTCTGCGGGTTGTCATACTTGTAGCTAGCAGGTCATAGATTGGTCACTCAGAGACATAGAAAAGAAAGAACTTGGCCAAGTTTTAAAATGAGGGTTTTGAAGCAATAAATACCAAGCTGAAATTACAAAATAATGCAGTTGGCAGCTTTCATAACTGTGGTTCATAACAAAAGTCATCTGTTTTTACTTACTTTTTTGTAGCTTCGGACAGTCTGCCATCTTTCTCCTGGGTGGCCTCAAAAGAGATGAGACTCCTACAGCCATGTTTATGCACAGCGGGGACATTATGGTAATGTCAGGCTTCAGCCGCCTGTTGAACCATGCTGTTCCTCGAGTCCTTCCAAATCCCGAGGGAGAAGGCCTGCCTCACTGCCTGGAAACACCACTCCCAGCTGTCCTCCCCAAAGACGCCGTGGTAGAGCCGTGTTCTGTGGAGGATTGGCAGGTGTGTGCCAGCTACTTGAGGACTGCTCGTGTTAACATGACTGTGCGACAGGTCCTGGCCAAAGGCCAGGACTTCCCTTTGGAACCCATGGAGGATAATAAAGGAGATGTCACCACAGAAGATTTCTGCCATCTGGATGACCAGGATAACCAAGTAAAACGGGCCAGATTAAACCTCGACAGCTAAGATTTGGGGATCCCCTTTTTTGACTCAGGCAGGTCTTCTCGCCCTGTGGACCCTCAGAACAACGTGAGCCCAAAACAGATAGGGAGGAGTGCGTCATGGTCACACCGTGCCTGGGGAGCCTGTCCTAGAGACTGAACTGGTGACACTTGGCTCAGAGAAGTGTTTGACACGGGCCTGTCCTGTCTGGGTCATTGGAATAGTGTGTGATCGTTCCAAGGAGGCAGGACGCAGCCCTCTTAGCCTCTGCCGTTACATCTGAGGGAGGTAGGTGGGCTTTTACGTGTGTGGGGTCTAAATACCTCAGATTTTATGAACGGCAAAATGAATGTTACCACCCCAGCCCCTCACTGCCGCTGGCAACTTGTGGTAAAATTGTGATTCTATGAAGCAGCCATTAAAATCAGCTCGCCATCATCATCAGATTCTTTTCTCCTTTCTTGCATCTTCTGTGGCTCTACAGATGAACTCTATGCACATGACGACAACAAAACTGGAAATCTTGTTGCCTAGAAGAAAATTAATCACAGCCATTATTTTTGCCTAAAGATATGAAAACTGAAGAAAGAAAAAAATAAAACTCCCTGTTGGCTTTTCAATGCAGTTTTAATTGTTGGACTAAAAATGTCCACAGGGTGTCCTGTTACTGTTTTCTCCATGAATAAACTTACTTGGTTTTAAATTAAAGATCTCTGTCTCTCCTCCAGAGTTAGTGTACCTGGGACTCTTTTTTTTTCCTCTTTGTATTTGCTATAGGGCTGGGGATATAGCTCAGTGGCGTAAGTGCCTGCCTGTATTTGCTGTATTGTTTGTGCTATTGAAACTCCCTAGCTGTTTCTGCCTGACCACCCTGCTCTGTCCTAAATATTCTCTGTGGCCGTCTCACAGAGAGCATGCCTGGATAGTCCAGTCACTACTGTCTCGTCTGATGATAGTTAACCAGGAAGTTTTCTGAAGCACTTTACTCTAGATCTCCACCAACATGACTTACTATTCTCTGAACCAAGCTACTTTACATTTCTCTGGACTACAGTCTCTTCATTCAAAAAATGGGGAAGTGGGGGATACTACCATCTTCCTAGAGGAATTCTAGTATTTAAAAAAGAACTTGGTGCTCCTTTCTGAAAACATGATGTGCCAGTTGTTTTATTATTATAAGCGCTCTGCCTTTGTGGAACATTGGCTGGAAACCACGTTGTTTGCTGCTTGCAACATGTCTTGCTGAATTTGCATATCACCCTGTCCGCCTCTTTTTTTTTTTTAAGAGTAAAAGAAGGATAACATAATAATAGGAGGGGCTTACCAAATTACAGACAAAGTGGTAGAAAATTATCAATGGTTATTGTTTTACATATTGTTATCTATAAGATAGTTTCTCAGGAAAACAAATAGACAAATGATAGTGAGTTACAGACAAAAGAGGTAGGAGATTATCAATAGTTGTACTATACTTAGGTATCTTCAAAGTGGCTTCTAAAGAATATAAATAGAACTATACGTGAGTGACCTACTGAATAATCATTCAATAATTCTCAATGGTTGTTATAGGAAACACAATATAAACATGGATCCATTTATGAAATAGGATAGGAACAATACAAACATTACAGAGTTAGGGATAGATTAGTAGGAAAATATCAATGACTGCTTTAATACATGGTGGTATCTTTAAAGTGGTTTCTCAGGAAGGCAGAGATACACAAGATGGATCTAACAAGTAGTTACAGCCTAAGGGTTGTCAAAAATCAAGTTAGTTGTCTGGGGTGAAAGCCATTTTTTGTAGCATTTTCTCCAGCCTCCCATCGCATTGGGACCCCACAACCAGTTAGTGTCCTCTCCCCAACTGTCAGCACAGGCAGCAGGAATCCTGCTGCAGACTTCTCCAGAGCTCCACCACAGCCTGTACTGTCAGGGGAAGAATGGCTTCCAGGGAGTCTCTGCATGTATTGTGCAAGGTCCTCCTGGTGTACAGCTTCTGAGCGGCTCTCATGACCCCAGTCCACTGGACCTCTGACTCCGTGGGCTTAGTCTGCATTCTCATGCTCTCTGAGTCCTTGTTCAGCAGCTGCTCCTCCGCTGGCTCTGGACCTTTCCAGTTCTCAATGGCAGGAGCAAGAGTGGCCCGTTGTATGGCATGTATTGCCAGGGGTTGTTCAAAGTTTGAATGATTCACACACATCCGTGGGTGGGCATCTACAGTTGGTGCATGGTGAGCCAATTGTGTCACTGTTTCTCTGTGTCATGATGCATTTCAATTGAGCAGCGGCGGCCGGCCTAAGGGCTGGCGCGCAACAGCGCTCGCCTCCGCATGGCTCCCCATGTGCATTAGGCCCTCCCTCTGGGGGCCTACAAGGCAGGAAGCTAGCCAGCCGGAAGACTGGCGCTCCCCGCCCGCGCCTCCCTGTGCGCCGGAAGCCCTCCTTCTGGGGGCCTACGAGGCTGGGAGTGAGCTGCCAGTCCAAAGACTGGCGCTCCCCGCCTGAGGCTCCCCGTACGCTCTTTTTTTTTTCAGTTATGAGCATTGAGGACTGAGTTCCCATGGTGCAGGTTCGGGTTTGGTTTATTTTGTTTCATTTTTTGTTTGGAACAGGGTCTCACTATGTATTCAGGCTCGTCTTGAACTCACAGCAATTCTTCTGCCTCAGCCTCCTGAATGCTGGGATTACAGACGTGCCATCACACCTGGAAATTTTTTCCTTTTTTTTGAGACATAGTCTCACTATGTAGTGCAGGCTGGCCTCAAACAGCACACCTGCCTCAGCCTCCCAAGTTCTGGGATTATAGGCATGTGCCACCATGCCTGGCTTAATTTTTTTCTGAAATAATAAAGATTATTATAGATCACTTTTGTGTAAGCCTGATAACGCTGTGTGACTTCCCACTAGGATAATTCCTTAAATTTTCCAGAATGTACATTGAATATGAGCCACATAAAACCAACATTCCATCATTTGGTAAATCCAGTCCTGACAGTGTATCTTTAGCAGAAGAACAAATTACTTTTTCTTCAGTCTAGTATCAGTATTGGCTTGTGTTTAGGAACCAAGATGTACCAAATATCCAAACCATAGACTTCCTCTATGAAGTGGGTGTTTGTGCTGTGAAAAGCAGGTGGAAACAGGCCAGCCAAGAGCAGATTCCTGTCTCCCTGCAGGGAATATGCTCATGAATGGGACGGTGAGCAAGACTGTTTGCACAGCTTGCATCTCTCTCTCTCTCTCTTTCTCTCTCTCTCTCTGTCTCTCTCTCTCTCCCTCCCTCTCTGTCCCTCTCTCCCCCTCTCTTCTACCTTAGAGTCCTTTCTCTCCTTGTCTCTTCTGTCATCTGCAATGTATATGGTATCAAGAACAGAGATGCAAACATTAGACCTGGGGAAACTGGTGTCCCCTCTCTCAGGTTAAGTCACCTTTTTCTCATGATGAATTATATGGCCATCTGTCTTGGTAACTTTTCTCTTGCTGAGACAAAATACCTGACACCCCAAATTAAGAAAGAAAGGTTTGGGCTGGGAATACAGCTCAGCAGCACAGCGCCTGCCTGGCAAGCACAGTGTCCTGAGTTTGATTCCCAATACATAAAAAATTTTTTTAAAATGTGGAAGATTTATTTAGCTCACAGTTTGTGGATGTTTTAGTCCATCAGCTGGCTCCACGGCAGGGTAACATGGCACAGGGGCAGCGCTTCAAGGCAGCAGAACACAGCAAAAGCAACAAGAGCAAAAAGTGGGCAAACAAGCCTCTTTTCCTTATGTTGTAAGCAGGCTACCCCCATCCAGGGCCGGTGTAGCCTCACACCATCCCCCTGCCCTCTTGCACAGGATAAGGTTGTTTACGAAAAGAAGACCCTGGCTTCCTGCTGAGCTACTTAGTTAAACTTCTCAAGTTGACACATTATATCAAGCATTATGTCACCCTAATTTTATTGTACTTCTGGCCCAATAAATTTCACTTCTAGAGGACTGGGAATGTTAGCACACACCAGTAACCACGTGAGCTGAAGCTGGGAGATCACAAGTTCAAGGCAACTCAGACTAAGACCCTGTCTTTAAGAATACCAGGGTCTGGGGTTATAGCTCAGTGGCACAGCACCTGCCTGCCAAGTGCAAGGTCCTAAGTTTGATTTCTGGTACCAAAATAAAGAAAAATTTAAAAATACCAGGAAAGCTAGGTGTACCTGTTATCCTAGCACCCTAGAAGGCTGAGGCAAGAGGATTGCAAATTCAACCCCAGCCTGGGAAACTTGGCGTCTTAGTGAGACTATCTCAAAACAAGAAAGGGAGAGGGCTGGAGATGTGGCTCAGCATGGAAGCCCTGCCTGGGTTCAATCCTCAGTCTAAAATCAAAACAATGAGAACTGTCGAGAAAGGGTTTTGTGTAAGAATATTTGTGAAAGCGGAAATCAAATAAGCTCTGTCGTAGCAGGGAGCTGGTTGATTACACTCACTGTCTCAGCAAATGATAGCAAGCACCCTTCCCTGACTGCACAAGGTCCCTGCATACAAGTCACAGGAACAACTTGAAACATGGGGAAATGCTGATGGTTTATTTGAGAAAATTCAATTAAATAACACTTTGTAACCTAAATGTGTAGAGAATGTTTACGTACCTTTTAAAAACTAGGTGGCCAGGTGTGATGGCTCATGCTTGTAATCCCAGCACTTGGGAGGCTGAGGCAGAAAGATCACTGAGTTAAAGGCCAGACTGTGCTATATAGTGAGACCCTGACTAAAAAAAAAGAAGAATCAAGATATATCATGTACAGGTACACAGGTACAAATTCACTGTGATGAATGTGATCTATATATATATATATCTAAAATGTATCAATAAAATTTAAAAAAAACTGGCAAGCTGTCTTGGTTACTTTTCTCTCCTTGCTGAGACAAAATACCCAACGCCCAAAATGAAGGAAGGAAAGGTTTATTTAGCTTACAGTTTGTGGAGGTTTCAGTCCATACTTGGCTACCTCTGAGGCAGAAAGTAGCAAACCAACAAGAGCAAAGGGGGGAACGGTAGCCGAACAGCAAACAGCCAGAACAAAAGGGAGGAATGGCGGCAAGCAGCTTTTTTTCCCTGCCTTACTTTGTAAACAGGCTACCCCCACCTAAGGCACGTGTAGCTCTCACATAATCTTTGCCCTCCTCTTCCACAGGCTCAGGATGTATACAAAGTAAGCACCTTGGCTTCCTGCTGAGTCACTTAGCCAAACCTCTAGACTTCCCAAGTTGACACAATGTATCAACCATAACACTCCACCCCTTGTCAACTTGGCAACCAGATACATTTCTTTAAACCAGTTTCCAGATACAAAGACATGCTATTACATTAGAACCATAACATTTCGCCGCCCAAAGACTCATGCACATCCCTCTATGCAAAGGGCATTTAGTCCATCCGCAAGAGTTGCCAAAGTCCTAACAGTTTCAGCATTGCTGAAGTGTCCAAGTTCCAAATCTCCGAGATGAAGGCAAACTCTTAGCTGTGAGCCCCTGTACAAATGAAAAGTTAAACACTCCCAACATTTAATGGCACAAAATAAGCAGTACCATTCCAAAAGGTACAAACAGGGGGACACAGAGCATGGGGACCAAAGCAAGTCCAAAATCCAGCAGGGCTAACATTATGTCCTGTAATTCCACATGCAGCATCTGAAGCAACTTTCGGCACACTGTGAGCTCCAAAGGGCTT